CGCCATGCGGGCTCACTGGCCCGTTTTTATATGCTAAGAGGCTGGGGGAGGAGCCGCTGATCGGAGCCGCGCACTTCCGCGTTCCACGGTGGAACGCATCCGCCCCCCGGAAGCGGATGCTTGCGCTCCACCGCGGGACGCAGGAGGCCGGGTCCGAGAAGCGGCGGAACCCCGCAACCCCCGATCCCCTGCTGAGGTCAGACGGCGGTTACCGTTACAATTACCATGTGCTCAGGCAGTCCACCCCGGGCTTAGCCTGGGGGTGGGATATACAAGGTTGGAGAAGGTTCCACGCACCGAATCTTCAGCAATACTTTCAGAATGAGAACTGATGATGGAAAGCTTTAGTCCATATAAAAATACCTTGGGGCTGAAAGAACAGGCTAATCCAGGTTAAGGGCAATATCATGTATCTATAGACTATCAGCCGACAGAAGTATGGAACTGGACATTCTGGACCTTTGATGATGATGACCCCTATATCACCAAATTATGAAGCCCATCGCTGTGACAATGATGAGGAAAACCAAGATGGCAGCTATGGGAAGATTCTATGTGGCATTTGTAGTGGCTCATTAGAATATCACCAGACACACGTGTGGAACTGGACCTTCTGGACTCTCCGTCTCACTCATATGACACCAATAGAATGGACTCTGAACTGAGCTCATTCCCATCACCAATGGAGGACTCTCTATGAACCGAGCTCATTCCCATCACCAATGGAGGACTCTCTATGAACTGAGCTCATTCCCATCACCAATGGAGGACTCTCTATGAACTGAGCTCATTCCCATCACCAATGGAGGACTCTATGATCCAAGCTCATTCCGATCACCAATGGAGGACTCTCTATGACCCGCACTCATTCCCATCACCAATGGATGACTCTCTATGACCTGAGCTCATTCCCATCACCAATGGAGGCCTCTCTATGAACTGAGCTCCTTCCCATCACCAATGGAGGCCTCTCTATGAACTGAGCTCCTTCCCATCACCAATGGAGGCCTCTCTATGAACTGAGCTCCTTCCCATCACCAATGGAGGCCTCTCTATGAACTGAGCTCCTTCCCATCACCAATGGAGGCCTCTCTATGAACTGAGCTCCTTCCCATCACCAATGGAGGCCTCTCTATGAACTGAGCTCCTTCCCATCACCAATGGAGGCCTCTCTATGAACTGAGCTCCTTCCCATCACCAATGGAGGCCTCTCTATGAACTGAGCTCCTTCCCATCACCAATGGAGGCCTCTCTATGAACTGAGCTCCTTCCCATCACCAATGGAGGCCTCTCTATGAACTGAGCTCCTTCCCATCACCAATGGAGGCCTCTCTATGAACTGAGCTCCTTCCCATCACCAATGGAGGCCTCTCTATGAACTGAGCTCCTTCCCATCACCAATGGAGGCCTCTCTATGAACTGAGCTCCTTCCCATCACCAATGGAGGCCTCTCTATGAACTGAGCTCCTTCCCATCACCAATGGAGGCCTCTCTATGAACTGAGCTCCTTCCCATCACCAATGGAGGCCTCTCTATGAACTGAGCTCCTTCCCATCACCAATGGAGGCCTCTCTATGAACTGAGCTCCTTCCCATCACCAATGGAGGCCTCTCTATGAACTGAGCTCCTTCCCATCACCAATGGAGGCCTCTCTATGAACTGAGCTCCTTCCCATCACCAATGGAGGCCTCTCTATGAACTGAGCTCCTTCCCATCACCAATGGAGGCCTCTCTATGAACTGAGCTCCTTCCCATCACCAATGGAGGCCTCTCTATGAACTGAGCTCCTTCCCATCACCAATGGAGGCCTCTCTATGAACTGAGCTCCTTCCCATCACCAATGGAGGCCTCTCTATGAACTGAGCTCCTTCCCATCACCAATGGAGGCCTCTCTATGAACTGAGCTCCTTCCCATCACCAATGGAGGCCTCTCTATGAACTGAGCTCCTTCCCATCACCAATGGAGGCCTCTCTATGAACTGAGCTCCTTCCCATCACCAATGGAGGCCTCTCTATGAACTGAGCTCCTTCCCATCACCAATGGAGGCCTCTCTATGAACTGAGCTCCTTCCCATCACCAATGGAGGACTCTCTATGAACTGAGCTCACTCCGATCACCAATGGAGGACTCTCTATGAACTGAGCTCACTCGGATCATTGAAGAATTCTGGTCCTTTGGGACTCTGAGCAGAATATTGTAAAGTGTTGAACTTTCTTGTTTATTGTACAGAGTGAGAATAACGGATTATTACAGGAAGCTTCGATCTTGTATAATGAAAGTAAAATGTATCAGATTTAATATGAGTTCCTCATTGGCTGGACCAATACAGATAAAGGTATAAAGCAATGATGTGCAGCAACCTGAAGCTCGGCACGTTCCATGTATTAGCACAGTTTAGTTATATGGGGCCGTCCCTGTGAGTGCGGGAAAGGTCAGCTCTGTGTGTATAGAGGAGCAGGTAAGTACACTAGGCGACACCTGGGCCCTATAGAGGGAGGTTGCACAGGCATGCCAACTCCTCCAGGATGGCCCATCAATACGTGCCATGGCCCGGAAGGTTTGCTGCGTCCCCCAGCACAGTCTCAAGAGCATGGAGGAGATCCCAGAACACAGGCAGTTACTCTAGGAGAGCTGGACGGGGTCGTAGAAGGTCCTTAACCCATCGGCAGGATCGGCATCTGCTCCAGGATGAGCACTGCCAGAGCCCTACAAAATGACCTCCAGCAGGCCACTGGTGTGAATGTCTCTGACCAAACAATCCGAAACTTCATGAGGGTGGCCTGAGGGGCCCGACGTCCTCTAGTGGGCCCTGTGCTCACTGTCCGGCACCGTGGGGGTCCATTGGCATTTGCCATTGAACACCAGAATTGGCAGGTCCGCCGGTGGCGCCCCGTGCTGTTCACAGATGAGAGCAGGTTGACCCCGAGCATGTGTGACAGACGTGGAAGGGTCTGGAGAAGCCGCGGAGAACGTCGTTTAGCATGACCGGTTTGGTGATGGACGGTCTGGGGAGGCCTATCCATGCAGGGACGCACAGACCTCTACAGGCTGGCCCAGGGGTCTCAAACCTCCGGCCCTCCAGCTGTGGTGAAACTACAAATCCCATGATGCATCTCTCTTCGGGAGTCATGTCTGTGAGAATCTTGCAACGCCTCATGGGATTTGTAGTTCCACCACAGCTGGAGGGCGGGAGGTTTGAGACCCCTGGGCTAGACAATGGCACCCTGACCGCCATTAGGTATCGGGATGAAATCCTTGGACCCTACACTGGTGCAGTGGGACCTTGGTTCCTCCTGACAATGCCCGGCCTCATGTGGTGAGACGATGCAGCCAGTTCCTTGAGGATGAAGGAATTGATACCATTGAATCAAATAGAACGCCTCGGGGGCATTATGTCTCAGTCCATCCGACGCCGCCAGGTTGCGCCTCAGCGATGCCCTGGTCCAGGCCTGGGAGGAGATACCCCGGGACTCCATCCGTCGTCTCATTAGGAGCATGCCCCGGCGTTGTCAGGCATCCATACAAGCACGCGGGGGCCATACAAACCACCGAGTACCATTTTGAGTTGCTGCAATGAAATTTCAGCACAATGGTCTCGCCTGCTGCATCATTTGTTCACTTTGATTTTTGCAGTGTCTTTGAATTCAGCCCTCTGTAGGTGGATCATTTTTTTTTTCCATCAAACGATGTGAATATTTTTTTTTTTAGCAAACATGGACTGATTTGGGCCACCATACATGTGACAATAGCTTACTTAGATCTCCTTTAGGTTTCAAATTGAAGGAAGAATGAGCTCCCAATAGAGAGGGTGTTATCTGGTGTGTAAGTTTTCTTTTCTAAATGAAACATTTTCCGCACTGTAAACATTTTTTTTTAAAAAGGAGGTTAGCTCATGTGAATTCTCTGGTGTTTAACAAGCTTTGCTTTCTCACTGAAACCTTTCCCGCACTCTGAACACGAGAAAGGCCGCTCCCCCGTGTGAATTCTCTGATGTTTAACAAGCTTTGCTTTCTCAGTGAAACCTTTCCCGCACTCCGAACATGAAAAAGGCTGGTCACCCGTGTGAATTCTCTGGTGTTTAACGAGGTCTCCTCTCTGAATAAAAGATTTTGCGCAATCGGAACACGAGAAAGGACGATCGCCCGTGTGAATCTTCTGGTGCCTGACGAGTGCATTTCTCAGAGTGAAACATTTCCCGCACTCGGAACATGAATAAGGACGCTCGCCTGTGTGGCTTCTCTTGTGTTTACGAAGGTCCCCTTTCAGGATGAAACTTTTCCCGCATTCTGTACATGAATAAGGCCGTTCACCTGTGTGACTTCTCTGGTGCTTGCGAAGGTCTGCTGTCTGAATAAAACATTTCCCACACTCTAGACATGAATATGGACGCTCGCCCGTGTGACTTCTCTGGTGTGTAAGAAGTGTTTTTTTCTCACTGAAAGATTTCCCGCACTCTGCACATGAATAAGGACGCTCACCTGTGTGGGTTCTCTGGTGTATAAGCAGTTTGCCTTTCTCTATGAAACACTTCCCACACTCTGAGCATGAGAAAGGTCGCTCACCCGTGTGACTTCTCTGGTGTGTAAGAAGTGTTTTTTTCTCACTGAAAGATTTCCCGCACTCTGCACATGAATAAGGACGCTCACCTGTGTGGGTTCTCTGGTGTATAAGCAGTTTGCCTTTCTCTATGAAACACTTCCCACACTCTGAGCATGAGAAAGGTCGCTCACCCGTGTGACTTCTCTGGTGTGTAAGGAAGTGTCCCTTCTGAATGAAACATTTCCCGCACTCTGAACATGAATAGGGACGCCCACTCTTGTGGTTTCTCTCATGTCGGAGAAGCGCTTTGGTTTCATTAAATGATTTTCCGCACACTGAGCATGACAAGGAACTCTCTCCTGTGTGATCTCCTTCATGGATTGAAGATGATTCCTTGGGATTGGAGGGATCTGTTGAGCTCTTCGCACTCTGAGATCTCAGAGGTCTATCTGGAGTAACAGTCTGTGATTGATCAGAAGGTTCCTCAGGATTAGAGGGATCCATTGATGTCTCGGAGCGGGAAGGTCGGTGATGTCTCTTCCCGGCATAATGTCCATCTGTAGGAGAGAAAGATCCAGAAATAATGTTACAGATCCGTTTCATGTCTCACATTCCGGAGTCATACATGTGGGTCCAGAACTCACCGAGCTCTGGACCCACATGTAGCACATTCACCGAGCTCTGCCATGGGATTGGGAGCATCACCGAACTGTGAATCCAAATCAGATCAATGAGACAATTCACCCAAATTACACCGGGAGAGAATGTGTGTACACTGGTGGCATTGTTACTGTGAGAGTGGAGATGGACCTTCCTCCACCTCAATTCTAGGAGACCTACTGAAGACCAGAGATGGACCTTCATATGGTGTACAGTATCTCCTCCTCATTTGTTGGTCACATGACGTTATATTGAGGAATGGAGATGGACCTTCATATGGTGTACAGTATCTCCTCCTCATTTATTGGTCACATGACGTTATATTGAGGAATGGAGATGGACCTTCATATGGTGTACAGTATCTCCTCCTCATTTATTGGTCACATGACGTTATATTGAGGAATAGAGATGGACCTTCATATGGTGTCCAGTATCTCCTCCTCATTTGTTGGTCACATGTTGTTATATTGAGGAATGGAGATGGACCTTCATATGGTGTACAGTATCTCCTCCTCATTTATTGGTCACATGACGTTATATTGAGGAATGGAGATGGACCTTCATATGGTGTACAGTATCTCCTCCTCATTTATTGGTCACATGACGTTATATTGAGGAATGGAGATGGACCTTCATATGGTGTACAGTATCTCCTCCTCATTTGTTGGTCACATGACGTTATATTGAGGAATGGAGATGGACCTTCATATGGTGTACAGTATCTCCTCCTCATTTGTTGGTCACATGACGTTATATTGAGGAACGGAGATGGACCTTCATATGGTGTACAGTATCTCCTCCTCATATGTAGGTCACATGACGTTATATTGAGGAATGGAGGTGGACCTCTCATGTGGTGTACAGTATTTTGCCTTCATATGGATGAACAGCAGGTTTAGATTTTGTTCCGTTTGTTTGGTAGCAATTAAAACAATTTTGTAAATTCAGAATGTAAGTCGATACTTTATACAATATTGGAATTTAGTTTTTATGACTTACTTGTTTCGATATAAAGAGAAGATTCCTCCTGTTTACTCTTCATCGTCATCTCCCCCTCCTCCATAGACTGCTGAGCTCCTCCCACCAACGTCTCTTCTTCTTCCTCTTTAACCTCAACTTTGATTTGTCTGAGTTCTTCGCCCTAAAGATAACAGATGACATTTATAACAATCAAGAAGAGATCTTTTTTTTCCTCTCACAGTTTAGAATAGTTCTACATCTTCAGTCCCACATACCTGATCGTGGTGGGGGATGGTGAGATCTTCCTGGGTGGAGTCCCGGGAATAAAGGGGGCGGGGACATCTCTCATGGTGGGGGAGGGTGAGATCTTCCTGGGTGGAGTCCCGGGAATACAGAGGACGGGGACATCTCTCTGGTGAGTTTCGGTTACTAGGTGGCTCCATCCTGATGTCCTTGTGTCCTTCTGAAAACTCCTCCATCAAACTATATTCACATCCGTCCTCTTCCTCACTTTTCAGCTCTTCTTTTATGACAATATTATAGTCCGAGAGGTTTCCACTCTGAACATAAAAGATGTTAAATGTAACAAACACTCATGTGTATAAGTCATAACTATCAATAATTGTTCATCATCTACCTGATCACGGTGGGGGACGGTGAGATCTTCCTGGGTGGAGTCCCGGGAATACAGGGGGCGGGGACATCTCTCATGGTGGGGGATGGTGAGATCTTCCTGGGTGGGGTCCCGGGAATACAGAGGACGGGGACATCTCTCTGGTGGGTTCCTCTTACTGGATCCATCTGTAGGAAACACACACACTGACTGAATACATTGTTTCTATGTGTGTATCAGATGATGGGGGATGTAGGCGGAGCCTCCGTACTGCTCTCTCCTCTTACCCGGTGATGTGAGGGGCGGGGCATTCTCCATCACCACGTCCTTGTAGAGATCCCGGTGTCCTTCTAGATACTCCCACTCCTACAAAATAGGCCTGGAGGCATCTGCGTCGTGGACAGTTGGATAAATGGCTCTATACTTAGGACGATTATGAGCACGTATTACAATATAACCTCCGTAAATGTCCATTGTAGCATCTCCTGGAGATAAAAGACGTCACAGTGACAACGGAGGAGGAGGACGGACATGACGGGGGGAGGGGTTACTGGGTGTAAATATAAAATAATATCTTATTACCTCATCTGCTGCCAGTTCCAGCAATGCCTCCTCTCTACTTCCTCCCGACTCTCCTCTGACCTCAAACCTCCTATTTATATGTGACATCACTTCCTGTCTGTATCTAACATCACTTCCTTTCTCTTTCTTGTATTTACTTCCTGTCTGTGCGTTCCACCAACCGTACGTAGGACCACCTCCTTGTGGAGAAGATGAAAACTGCAGCTTACGTTGTCGCTTATTTGTACATTCTTCAGTTTGTGGCACATATCAGAGCCGAGATAAAACGTAAACACTGAAAAGGTTCCTCATGAGCATTTTCGGGTGATTTTAAGGTTTTTTTCGTACTTTTTTTCCACCAGAGCGCATGTTTTTTTATGCGTTTCCAAGCTTGAGGCGTTTTTGTTTTTGCCGATGAAAGACGGTATCGTCTGTGACATCATACGTCACGGTCATCTTTGTGTCTTCTTCCTGATTCCTCCATGTGGTGTTGGGATGTCTGGTGCTATCGGAGATCCCAGTTCCTTCCCAGGCCCTCTCTTGCTTGCGGTGCTGCCTTCTACGGTTCTTGTAATGGGCACCATTGGGGTCATAGAGGTTCTTGTAATGGGCACCATTGGTGTCGTAGAGGTTCTTGTAATGGGCACCATTGGGGTCGTAGAGGTTCTTGTAATGGGCACCACTGGGGTCGTAGACATTCTTGTAATGGGCACCACTGGGGTCGTAGACATTCTTGTAATGGGCACCACTGGGGTCGTAGACATTCTTGTAATGGGCACCACTGGGGTCGTAGACATTCTTGTAATGGGCACCACTGGGGTCGTAGACATTCTTGTAATGGGCACCACTGGGGTCGTAGACATTCTTGTAATGGGCACCACTGGGGTCGTAGACATTCTTGTAATGGGCACCACTGGGGTCGTAGACATTCTTGTAATGGGCACCACTGGGGTCGTAGACATTCTTGTAATGGGCACCACTGGGGTCGTAGACATTCTTGTAATGGGCACCACTGGGGTCGTAGACATTCTTGTAATGGGCACCACTGGGGTCGTAGAGGTTCTTGTAATGGGCACCACTGGGATCGTAGAGGTTCTTGTAATGGGCACCATTGGGGTCGTAGAGGTTCTTGTAATGGGCACCACTGGGGTCGTAGAGGTTCTTGTAATGGGCACCTTTGGGGTCGTAGACATTCTTGTAATGGGCACCATTGGGGTCATAGAGGTTCTTGTAATGGGTACTATTGGGGTCGAAGAGGTTCTTGCAATGGGCACCACTGGGGTCGTAGAGGTTCTTGTAATAGGCACCACTGGGGTCGTAGAGGTTCTTGTAATGGGCACCATTGGGATCGTAGAGGTTCTTGTAATGGGCACCATTGGGGTCGTAGAGGTTCTTGTAATGGGCACCATTGGGGTCGTAGAGGTTCTTGTAATGGGCACCACTGGGGTCGTAGAGGTTCTTGTAATGGGCACCACTGGGGTCGTAGAGGTTCTTGTAATGGGCACCATTGGGGTCGTAGAGGTTTTTGTAATGGGCACCATTGGGGTCGTAGAGGTTCTTGCAATGGGCACTATTGGGGTCGTAGAGGTTCTTGTAATGGGCAGCATTGGGGTCATAGAGGTTCTTGTAATGGGCACCACTGGTGTCGTAGAGGTTCTTTTAATGGGCACCACTGGGGTCGTAGAGGTTCTTGTAATGGGCACCCCTGGGGTCGTAGGGGTTCTGGTA